TGAGCCTGAACCGGTCGGCCTTCGGGAGGGTCAGGGGAGCTGGGGAACGCGAAGGGAAGGTCTGAGATCTGGGGCTCGTCTGGAAACGTGCCACGGGGCGCAAAGGGAAAAGCGTGGGGCGGCTTCTGCGCTCTGCTTGTACCTGGCTGCGCCGCAGAGGGAGGGGAAGGGGGCAGGTGATCCCTGGCGACGCTGCTCCGGAGCCCAGAGGCCCTGGTGCCGACAGACAGGAAACAAGCCTTCCCCCGATGCGCTCAGATCGGGGCCTGGGAAGTCGTGGGTGGCGGGGCCCCCGTGGAAACGCGGCCTCAGGGTAGCCAGGCTCTCTGCCTTCTTGCCCGGCAGGAGGCTGGAGGGTCAGCAAAGGGGTGAGATCACCTGCCGAGGGCAGAAAGGGAGGTGGTCAGGCTGGAGCAGGGCTGAGCTCTGCCTGGAGCGCGCCCCCGGGGCCGCTTGGAGGCCGGGCAGGGGCCAGGGGGCCTTTCAGGGGCGCAGACCTAAAGCGCCGTTGGCTTCTCAGTGCCAATCCCTGACTCCTTTTATTTTTGTATTTTATCCATAGACCCCCCCAACTCCAGCTGACACAGCACTTAGAAAAATCCCCCCCATCAATTTTACTTTCAAAAGCAGCAATTATGTCTCTCAAATAGTTTTAATCAGGCGGAGAAAGTTGCAGGCCACCGAGTGTGGCCTTCAGATTTCGGTCTCTTTGGCACTTAGCGTCGGCTGGGCCTCTGATCACAGGACACTGAAATTAGCCGTTTTCAGAGGGCTCTGTAATCAGTGGAGGCGCGTCGCCATAAACGCCGGCGATCGTTGTTAATGGAGTTTCCTCCTCCGTATCAGCTTCAGAGCGAAAATCCCAACACCAGTTTCGCCGGTGCTCTCCTGTTGGTAGTGGTGATGGCGTGATAATTTTTTTCAAACCATCTTTAAACCAGAAATGACATATATGGCTGTCCTTATATTTACCTTCTGGGGTCCCGTCGGAGTGATGAAACCACATATGGGAAGTTTCTCTCTTTCTCTGCCAGTCTGTACGGCCTGTCGACAGGAGGATCTTGGCAGATCCACGGGGGACCAGAGTCCTTGGTCTTGTTGGGTCTCCCCTCTTCCCGGTGGATCAGAACTGGGTGTTTGATTAAGGCTGAGGAAAGGCCCAGAGATGGAGGGTAAAGGAGAGGCAGGTTCCCTAGGGATCCCAGGCCCTGATGGCAGCCCCAGCCTGGCAACAGCCCGCAGTGCCCTCCTTCCCAGGGCCTCTGCCTGCTCTGTCCTTGTGGCTGAGGGTGGCAGCCAGGCGAGCAACGTTTGGGGGGGCCTCTGGCCAGAGAGGCAGCCGACAGAGCCCAGGAAACAGGCTGGAGAAAGGGATCTCCCGAATCAAGGCCCAAGCCAGGCAGTCGTGAGGGGTGGGGTGTGCGAACTAGTGACAATCGGATATTTTTTTAAACCTGACTCGTGGTGCTTCTTGCTAACAGAGGGGCACGCCAGAGATGGTGGATCTGAGCCCGGGCCTGGAGGGTAAGACCAATTTCCAAAAGGGCCACCTTGTCGAGGCACTTTCACTGGTCCTCACATTTTTGGGGGAGAGGGTCCTTCCAGAACCCCCCCCCAACAGATCTCAAAGGGCCCCTTTCACTTTCAGGGCCCCTTCCTTTCCTTATAAAATTTCTTCCAGGAGCAGAGATTCTCGTTAAGATTTTTCCGGTTCATTACAAACACCCATTTTTACGATGGCTTTTACGAAAAATAAAATCCCCTCGAACCTCTTTTTCTGAAAACACGCTCCTTTCGAGCTGAGCTGAGACCCAGGGGCAGTTCCTGGAAACCGCATCAGCAGAACTCACGCGGGGACGGCGACCGCCGGCCTCGCTCCCACCCGGGGCCCCCGGCTCCCCCGCACAGCCACGGTTTCCCAGCTCAGCCCAGTACCGTCGGAATTCCACCTTCAGCTCAATGCAACTTAATTTTATACTCCTTTAAGGTTTGTTTCATACCCATGCACAAGTCAAGGGGAACGATCCTTTCCCAGGCCCAGAATTCCGATTTGGGGTTCAGAACAATAGAGCCGGCCTAACTGACCCCTTTTACATCTGTGTGTTTGTTTTCTTTGAGTGGCAAGAAAATCAACAGTGGAAACCGCTTACAAGATCACTTACTAGTGGGATATAAAGAAAAAAACGTTTGCTAAATCAGAAACATTGTGATGGGGAAAATATGATTAGAGTTGAGCAGCCTGCATTATTTTTTTAAGTTGCTGGTTAGAGGGCTGCAGATCAATGTCATGAGCGACCAAGTAATTTTTTTATTTTTTATTTTTTTGGAGGAGCATGCTTAGAGATGAAGTTTAACAGACATCTGATCGCTGCAATCTGTTTCCCTCCCCTTTATTTATAGGCTCTCCTACCACCTTCTCACTTTCTGCCCCCCTTGGAATTGATACGAGGAAGGCCCTAGAATCAGCAGTTTTCGCTGACAGTCTCTATTACCTAACCCACGGAATTTCATCTTCCGACCAATGGGCCTCTCTTCCTGGCTGCACTTTCCTCCCCGTGCTAGCTGAAGTCCTCTACTTATTCGTTTCTCACTGTTACCGAGCGATTGCTTGCTGGATGGCGAAAGTCAACTCTTGGATTTGGTTTCAGTTGGAAGAATAAACCTGTAATTGTAGCCTGGCCTTGTCCGCGGCCTTCCCTGGGGGCCTGGCCTCGCGCTGCAGGCGCTGAGCTTCCAGAAGTCAGATGGGCCCATCCCACCGGCCAGGGGCGCTCTCAGCTCCGGGTTCCACACAGTGGGGTGG